AAAAAGAAAAAAAAAAAAAAGAGAAATTATAGGTTCCGCGTAACTTAACCAGCCTAGGGAAAGTTCCTTTTCTATTTCATGATCGATAAGTCATAAAAAAAAACTTTATTCTTCTTTATAGACCTTTTTTCTCTTTCTTCATTATACAAGTCCTTGAAAATTCAGATTTTTCCTACTTGAGTTTACACGATCGCCTTTGGTCATTTAGATCGATTATCATAGAAAGAGGAAATTTAAGCTAATTTCAATTGAGATAATCCATCTTTGTCTGGCATCACGCAACAGATTCATACATGGGGTGATGTATGAATAAATTCAGTATTCTTACGGCAATTCGACTTTTTCCAGGAAATAGTCGTCATCCAAACATCCAATTTTCTGAATAAGAAACGCTAAAAAACTTTCGTTAAATACCCTTTAATTTTTCAAAAATGAGTTCCAATCATGGGTAGATGTTGAATGTCGGATTTTGACTTAGTCTTTGCTAGTTGTTGTAACTTTAATTATTTTTGTATCAGTAAAATAGAATAGGATAGATATATAAATGAAGTGGCACTCATAAGTGAATCGAAGGATAAAAAAATGATTCGCTGTCTGCGACCCACCTTTTCCAAAAGTGAAGTTAGTCAACAATGCAGTCCAGGTCAAGAACATGAAAAATGAACAAATTCCATGCCTTCTTCAAGGTAACGGTTTTCTGTTTCTACCACGCGCGTATGACACAAGTTTTAAGTTAATCGCTAGCTCCAAGCAGTGGATTAAACTTCCCAAATCGACCTGTCGTTATGAATGAAACCTTATTATGAAAATAAAATTTTTAAAAAATGCTTGCAGGTGTCAGTTCCATGTGGAAATGGATGTTATCCGCTTCGCTCGATGGAGAGAAGATCGCTTTCATATTCATTTCTTAACTTGCAATTCACATATATGATTTATATATATTAACAGTCATTTAAGTACATATTAGTGCATATATTTATCCAAGTTGAACTTTGATAAATATATTCACTAATCATTGTCTGTATGTGGTGTTTTCGGAGTCTCGAAACAAAATAAAACGTCTGTTCTTAGCATTTATTCGGTGATGATATTTACGACATAACTAGTTGTTTGAACGAGTTTTTGTAAGAGAATTTCTCGAGTTTTTCGTTTTCTCTTCTACAAAAACTTATTTTGTTGTTAGAATAAGCTGACTCAGTCAAAGCTAGGAACTACTTCAAGTCAGTTTGAAGTAATATGTTATTTTTTCGCGAAATAACGCGTGAAATCTCTAACGGGCGAAAACTGTGTGCTCACCAATTTTGATATGTGAAGAGTAAAATTATCACGTAGATTCTTTAGCATTAAAATATTTATAATATTTTCACAAAATATTCTAACAAAACTGACTCGTTAATAATTTATTTGTCTGCCTCAAAGAATGGCTGCTTCGCAACTTAAAAACTCCTACTCAAAGAACACCTGGACAAGGTTTCGTATAGATCAGAAAAGTCCTGTGAGCCATTGCACGGAGGTAACTTATGCAGTTTGACCTACTGGGATTTCATGAGACCATAAAGTGATCTAGCGTTTTCCCGTACTTTCTGGTAAGAGTTTTGAGCCCTGCTGACATAATTATCAATATTCTAATGGCGGTAGAATTTGTCCGCACTGATCACTAAATGTGGTTTGCTGTGGTAGTAGCTTTTATCATTTTGCCTTGCCTACTCCTTCCAATAGTTCAGCAGTTTTACTTCCAGGATGCACGTGGATTCCAAAATAGTTGCCATGGCTTTTGTCTGCGCAGTTGTCATCCAAGGAGGAGTCCCAAGTCCCGAATCTCAAATCCAGTCCAAAGCATAGTTCCAGATAATAAAGTGAGCCTGCGAACAACCACAAAATGGCGGATACGGTTCCATCTTTTGGTTACCCAAAATTTTCCTTGAGTGAACCGCGATTTGATCAAGTAGGTATAATTTTTTCAAATTGAGAAAATCCCAATAGCTTTCATTTTAAGATCGCTCGATGTTTTGGTGGAATTTGATCAGCAATTAGGTATTTCTCTGCAATAATGCACTCTCAAATTGATGTCTCCATTCTCTTAGAAAACCTATTTGGGACGATTGAAGCGTTGCCTTGATGTCACAGATCCTAGAACCTTGTTTGTCAGCGAGGTCTGTTTATTACATGTTAATAACTTGCTAAAATTCTAAATGCCGTGAAGCGTTGCAGGTATAGTGAAGATCAACTGAGTTGACTATCTTAATGTAAATTGGCCTCCGTAGAGAAGTAAAAAAGCTGACGTTTCGAGCATTACCCCTCGGTCAGAGCGGATTCGCTCTGCAAAAGCGCTTACGTTCGAAACGTAACTTTTTTTTCTTATTTCTCTACGGTGGCCTATTTACATAATCAGCTACCGTCGCAACACCACTGTTTCTAAAGAAACATACCCCTTTGTTTTAGCGTTACAGATAGATTAGAAAGCAATTGTAGATCTAAAATCGATCATGATTGTAGTCAGTTTAGTAATTTATTTAATAAGCAAAATAATTAGCTCTTTATACAGCCTGCATATAATTATCAGAACCCTCTCTGTCATTCTTTGATCATGAGCTTGTCTGTATTTTAGAAAAAGCTTCAAGACTCCATACAGCTTTTGAAACAATTTGAAAATGGAACCCTACCTCAAGGAACAAGGGATCAGAAGGTAACTGATGTCAGTTGGTAGAAATGAAATGTCGTGATGGTGTGTGGAAGATGTGTTGGCTTTATGGTTAGTGCACTGGACTCAAGGTCAAGAAGTATGGGGTCTAAAACCTGTCTGGGTCATTGTGTTGTGTTCTTGGGCAAAACTCTATATTTTCACAGTGTCTGTCTCTACCCAGGGTATAAATGGGTACTAGTGACTTGTTAGGGAGGCCTGATGAAATGTCAAGGGGTAACCTTGGGGTGGACTAGAATTGAATTCAGGTGGGAATGGTAATAACCCTGGTTACTTTATAGTGTGGAAACTGAGATGAACTTTATCACATCACTAGAGCCCAAATAAATGAGCATGGTAGTCACTGTGAGTTGGTATCACTGTGTTGCTGCAGGTGCGGGGATATCTAATGCAGTGGTAATGTGCTCACCTCCCATTGCTGTGACTGTAAAAAAAGGAAATGTGGAATTCTAACTCAGGCATGCAGCAGATAGGCCTCCAAATGAATTCTCAATCTTATTGGCTTTATATGGATGAATAAATTCACATTGATCATCACTATTGTGAGTGTAAATTGCAAGACAAATAATTGCATCACAGGGATACCAACTAACCAGGATGGCTAGTTGGTTAGTTAGTCTGTTTTTCATATGTTACTGATTTTTTTGGGCTGGTTATTTACATGAGTTCTAATCCAAACCACAGTTTTTTGCAAGTAGCAGGCTTAATGATTCTCTATAAGTGGGTTGATATGATTAAAAATTTGTCCTTCCACAACTAGCTTTAGGCCCTCTTGACACTGTGCACAAAAGTAATTGTTCAGATGAAAGGTTTGGCTAAATTGAATATGGTTTAGAATGTGGTTTTGTTATACAAGGGCTAAACTTTGTTTAAATAACAGACCCTTTGAGTTTGGCTCTACTCCTAATTAAGACTGCATGGTATCTGCATTAATGAGAAGATGTGGGTTAATAAGTTTAGGCTGAAAGGTTACAATTAGTTGTTAAGGTTAAATATTCCTGGTTAATTGATGATTTAATGTTTTCTTTTTTTGCTGATAAAACAAGCTGTGGGAGGCAAGAAAAATCAAGGAGGTAAATGTGGTTTAAGATGTTTATAAAATTATATGGCAAAGGGTTAGTGGATATTATTTTTGAAGGTAATTGAACTAAGTGGGGTGCAATTTGGTCTGAAATCATACACAGATTTCCAAATTTGAACAAGTGCACAGTGGAAGTTTGATTTGAAATCAGAAAATTTAATTGCCCAAAAACAGGATTTATGTCAGTGGAAATATCTCATTTTTGCCACTCAAAAACTTTAAGAAATTTAAATTCGTCCAGTTATTTGTATAAAAAGAGAAGTTTTGTGGACAAAAGATGAAAATTTGCCTTTCAATCAGTTCTATGTCTTTCACTTCCTGAAATTTGATTGGTGTCTTTAAACAAGCCTTGAATTCTGATAGGTTGTTTAGTGTGAATTGAGAATAAATCACACTGCTGAGAGCCAATCAGATCACAAAGATCACCAGGTATTTTAAAATGGATGTAATGGTGGGCAACATTTAGACCTTTGATTAGATTACAAAGTGTTTTCTTGTTGATTCAATAGGCCATCATTCATCCCGACACAGGCCAAAAAGTGTTCATGCCTTTCAGAATGTCAGGTTAGTAAATGCATAATTTACGGGTAGTTCTATGATACAGTTGGAGTAAGTGCTTGAATCTTTTCAGAACCAATTTTCTTATCACTGCTGTTACTGGTTTTCTCTTACAGGTTATGTTCCTTTTGGAACAGTTACGGTGAGTTGTATGGTTGATTTATTTCTTTAATGGTTTTTTGAACTCACTCTAAATGTGATATATTTAAGTTCTCCAATCTTTCCAAAAACATTCATTCTTGAATTCATGTATTATAATCCATTAGGTTGTGGGAATGCTGTTACCTGCACCATCATTGAGGACAGTTATATTTTGGCAGGTGAGTTTACTTGTTTTATTAAAGTTGATTTTATTTTTAGCAAGGGGAGGACAATTAAGAGACATAGTGGTATGATAGCATGTCTGGCCAAGGATTGCAAGGTCTGGGTTTGAAACATGACTGGGTCATTGTGTTGTGTTTTTAGGCAAGACACTTTACTCTCAGCCAGTGCCTCTCTCTACCCAGGAGTATAAATGGTACCAGTGAACAGTCAAAGAGGCCTGATGAAATGCTGGGGGTAACCTTTAATGGACCTGATACTCTCAATCTCTTCCAGCTATGGAAACTTGAATAAGTTTTGGCAAGATGAGCCACTTGATTCAAGTGCAGACTTAAACCTTTTTTAAAGACATCTTAATACCTGGCAGTAGCCCAACTGACCAGAGCTTAATGCCGTGTCTGTAGCATGAAGAGCTAGAATTGTTGCTTCTACACCCC